TATCAAATTTAAACAATATATGTACAGTTCAAAAGCAAACACAAAAACTTCAATATAAGTACAAAATATGGAAAGAATAACAACATACAATGGTAAAATCTCAAATTGGAATCAAATAAAATACCAAAAATGTCAAGAGAAAAGGTCCATCATGTCATAGCAAAAATATGTAAACATGAAGGGATTTTCCAAAACACAAAACATTCAAAAAGAATTCTACAATAGCTTAAGTCTACTTCTAGAAGTCTACTAAAATTGCAAGTGAAGCTCTAGTTACTGAAGATCGCCAATGACGGTTGAAATGGTTAATGACATTCTTTTTCCAAGAGTTTTGCGGTATCACCTTAGTTGGTGATTGTGACATTGGGACCTAAAAACCGAGAAACACTATCTTTGGGCAGTCAAATAGAGGTTACATAACCGAATAAGCTTTTCGGACTGGAGACAAACTTATCTATTAGCTTGATCGGATAATGAAGCCTATCTTCCTTGAGTGCACTATCGGGTCTAGGGACCATTTATGAAACAATGGTTCATATCACCCAAGATTTTGTCCGAAAAGAAATCCGAGTTAGCGTCCACGTCAAGCTACGGCAGGGCCTCTAAGTCCATTCGCTACATATTTTCCATTAAATAGAACACACCAATCGTCTTAAGTTTCAACACTAGTTGTTAGCAGAGTGTTTTAGCTTATGTTTACCAACAAAGTGTTGCCTTTGTAGGTGTGATCTCTGTTTTCCGGAGGGACCAGTGTTCAGAGGTTGGCAACAGGGGATTCTTCAGTCGTTAAGATATGATCCAAGAGTGATGTTTTCTGATTGCCCTCCACTGAGTTACTGACTTTGCGTTTCGAGTAAGTCTTAATTTTTCACTTAAGTTGGAATTCTAGCTTCAGTAGAGCTATCTGCTCCACTGAATACGTAGTCATCAGAGTTGACCTTCGAAAGATTGGAGTCTTCTAAAATGAGGATGTGAGTGTATCCTAAACGAGTGGAACGGTACAATCATCCCAGAATTTAGTTGTCCTTTTCTACGTCAGCCGTAGGTTTTCTGTAGATGACTTCAACTAGATATCTTGAGATGTTAAACAATCGCACTGAGAACCATGCAGATTCATCAAGGTTGGTAAACTCATGAGTTTACTCATTAACCTACATAAGTGCAGGTGTTTAGTTTTTGTTATGATATTAAAAAAGTCTGAGTAAATATACCTTTGTTTTATCCATAAACGTATGTGCAAAGCCGTTGTTCGGCTTTGAACAAGAATATTTTCTGTTCCGCTCCTCGTCCCGTTTTCTTTATTCCTCTTTTTTCAGAACCTTATTCCAATCCACATATATTCGTCTGGATATTTGCAGTAGACTTGGTTACCCTACCCAAGAACATGTGAAATCATTAGCTGATGAATATCAACCAGACCTTTGTACATTTACCGCATCAATTCTTGTTATATGAAAACCTATCTCTACCATGAATCGTTTCTCAGTCCATAAGATGATTGTCGTAACGCAACCTTCGTAACTTGCGCCAATTATTCGCATTGTACATTCCATCTTTAAGAAAACAATGAATCTTGTGAAATGTTTCAGTAACTATATACCGTTTTAAAAGAAATATGTTGCTAATCTTAACATTTTGATCTTGCCTGTAAATTGGCATGTCTCTTGTAACATGTTTGTTATTTGAGAATAAATTATTATTATTATTATTATTATTATTACTCTTGATGTACTATCAAGCACGGTCGTAGATACAGGGGTTCAATTCCTCTCATTCCTTTTTTTCCGTACTGTGCCAAATTCATGTTGTGTATTCCTTGCTCCAAGTCACTGATTCAAGAAAATGCCCATGTTTCAGATTTTCTTATCAGGTGAGTATTGTTAGCATAGCTGGGCTCACATAAATTGCTCATTTTGTTCTGTAAGCTCTCAGTATTCGTACATCAATAGGTAATGCTTTTGATTTGAGAGTCTTCATCCTATTTTTTTTTGGATGAGCCTAGTGTGAACCAACATTCAACCTACCCTTACTGGGTCTTTCCGGAGAGTGATCCTTATCCTTTCCCCTTTTTTATTGTTCTTGACGACCCACAGGTTGAATGGTTGGCTCCATCTTGCTTTTGTGCCAGTTCTTGTACCATATGACCTGGCAAGTTACACGTGGAATACAGCTGGTAACCGGCATCTATTGACACGGGATGGCTCAAGAGTAGCAGCAGACAGTTGAGCAGAACGGTGGGTTATTTTTATTAGCCTCGGTCCTGTTTCACAACGTATGAGGTCAATGTATTCCTGAGCTTCAAGGACCAGTTAATAAACTTCAATCCTAGAAAATTTTTAACTGTATTATCAGTATCCTAATTTTCTGGGACTCCTGGCAAAATGATATTTCTCCCTCCAAGGAAGAGCTAAAGAGATCCCTTTGGGGTTTGCGTGATGAGAATGCTCTCCTGATATGGTTTTTCAGGCAATATTCTTATTCCTATTCTCATCCCAACAAGCGTCTGGTCCGAAAGACATCCTTTACGTCTATAGTGTTAGTGAATGCTACACGGAGTCTAGGACGATTTTGGTCCTTGTTTCTCTTCCAACAAATAAGCTATGTAATCGTTAGTGGTTCTGTTTGAGGAATTGTTGGCCTCTCGTTTAACTCTTCGAAAGGATCCTCTCTATTCTGTCCTGCAAACTGAGCGACTCATCAAAAGTCTTTACATTTCATGAAGCTTAAGGAATCGTCAAGATCATTGACAGGATTCCCAGGTTTTTGGGAAGGTTGGGATAGGGCTTATTTCTGTTTGAAAGTTCGATTTAAATCCGAATCCAAATGGTTTGACAATCACCACAGTAGACTCCACAGCAGGTACATTAAATTATTTTCATTCCAGACTTGAGATTTTGAGCATGTTTGATGGTAATATTCGGTCTTTTTGACCATGCTTACGAGTGTTCACTCACCTTCAATATAAATTTCATGGAACACAGCAGCATATGGAAACGTTATCCTGGGGATTAGAAGTTTATAAAGATATTGAGCTTGAGTACATCCTCAGCAGTTTTAGAGCTTGCTCAATTATTACTGATGCTATCAAAGACCGCTTAAGACTACTCAGCGTGTCTCAAGTTTCTGCATATCAATATACTTAAGCGTATGATTGACAGAGAGACAGATGGACGATGAGAATGCAACATACCGACAACCTTGAGTTAACCAATGAGAATTCAGGTGGCGCATCATTCTGAGCGGGATTTAAAATGCGGTGTTTGCTCTCACCAACGTAAAACTGGCAATACTTCCAATATCTAATATCTTTTTCACGGGTTAGTATAAACCAGTTGATTTCTTTGCGCTCGATTCTTGTTCTTTCGGTACGGCTTCAGGTATTTGGTCGTCAGGATTTTTGGAATTGATTAAAATGTATGTTTTATGGAGCTAAGATGTGACTTGAAATTGAGGCTTAAGTTAAACTGTGAAATTATTTTCAACCCAAGCAATTTAAGAAGGAAAAATACCCAAATAAGAGCAGAATTTTGGAAAAATACGGCGAAATTGGCTAAAAATATTTCGTATAAATCCAGGTGACATTGCCTGAAAATGTCTGCCTTTTCGACCATTTTCGGGAAACAATGAAAATTTCTGCCCAAAGGTCTCTCTCCATGCTCACCAACTAGTCTACTTCAGATGTGAAGACACGTTTCGCGTTTATTTCTCCATTCCTGTCTAATCGAGTGGACACGAACTTTGGGGAAATTTTAGAGAATCCCCCATTTTAAGAAAGATTGTATTTTCGGGTACCTAATTTGGTTCACTTCGCAGTCAAGAATTTTTAGTGGAGCTAGGTAGTATCCCACTTCTATGGAAAAGCTAATATGGTAGAACTTTTCAGATCTCGAAATTCGTCCACAAATTATAGTCTCATTGAAAACTGTGACTATAATTTGTAAGCCAAATTCACAACTGCAGATTAAATCCTAACCACAACCTTTTGCATTATAACTGATGTCAGCAAATCATGAGAATCTTAGGTCAAAACACTAACCGTACTCCCAATATGTAAATCTAGTCCTTTTCTTCTGCTATAAGGAATAAATCAACATCTACGGACTAATTATTCAGATCAGATCTATTATCCTATTGTGCTTTTATCTGTTGATCGTTTTGTAAGCAAATTTTCTTTATTGGCTAGTAAATTGCTCCAGACCGTCAGTTTACAATACTTTTAGTCTTAACTGAATCAAAAGCCTTTAGGGAGTCTTTTTCTTTATGCAAGTATTTTTTCACATTGTAAAACATTTTGTCGGGTTATTTCGATTTATGTAATCTAAGTTCTCAGTGGGCAGATTCTAAACGCGCAACTATTTGAAAGCAGCCCCTAAAAGTAATGGTTGATGATATCTAATAAGTAGATTTTCTTCCTGCTAACTAATAAGTTATGGATTTCCCGCTTCCTTTTTGTCTGAAAATCATTATATGTGAACATGGTCAGTATATATACGATGTTCCTTTGTTGACTGTAGTTAAGAAATTGGTAAATAATAACTACGAAAACCAGTTAGAAAGAATAATTTAGACTTTGAAAACGTATTTCAGTCAGAAAAGGCATGCAACTGGCGACTGGTCTATTCCGATTAAGAGATCAACAGAGTAGTGTATAAAGGTTGATGGTTTTAAAATAAAAGTTTATGACTCTGTTGACAAGAAGCCTTCCTGTTGTGATGGAGAAGACTTCAGTAATTCAGGAAAAGCCATGGCTAATCCCCACCGGTGAGTTTCTGTCCTTCTAAAGAAAACGAACAATCGATATCCACATCTATATAGGGGTAAGCAAATTGTTATCTTTATAGTAATCAGATCCAGAGAGCTTGTTCTTCAGATTATTGGTAAGCTCTTTCTCATTAGTATAAAACTTTGTCTTTCTTTTCATTGACGGTTTCTAAGCACGGATAAATTCACCTAGTTTATCTTTTGTAGATCTTCAAATGTTTTACTGTTCCATATGATCAATGATTTTTAACAATTTTGGTTATCCGTTGGCAGTTATCTCTGGACTATGTGCAGCATGTACTAGTCTATATAGCAAGTTATTGAGTGAGGGCTACATATTAAATAAATTGCTAGTGTGCTTTCCAGATGTAAACAAGTATCTTCTCATCATCTCAAGCTATGGTGGTGCTGTTGTTCTGAATGTTATAATGTGGCTGGCTTTTGTCACAGCGCTTAGCATTGGTCGAAAAAGTGTTGTGATAATAGCTACAAACACGTTGTCGAATTTTGCGTTTTCAGTAAGTCATTACAAATTTATATCACAACTGTACAGGCAGTTTTTGGTAGGTACGTTTTTCAGGAAGAACTGACTGGAAATTGGTTAGCTGGAATGCTTTGCCTGAGTATCGGAATTATCTTTTTACTTCGTGAACAGTAGCCTGATTTGTTGCATATCAACGCGATAGACAGACGAAAACAATTCATGGTGAGAATTATATTTTGAATACTTCTTACTGCGATCGGTCTTTTCCACGATGAAACATCTTGTTTACAAATAGTAACCGCAATGTTATTTCGTATATAAATACAGCAGGCTATTTTTGTACCCGGTAAACATATCGCTGCTTTTTCTTAATATAAATTTTTACGAATATTTCCTCCATAGTATCACATTTTCTATTCCCAATCTAAATCATTCATATTTTTATAACAAATGACGCATATTTTTTCTTAGTACTCTTTCAAAATATGTCAACTTCTGTGTCTTATTTTACTGAGTCTTTTTATTATTCAGTCCAAAATGCTTTTTAGATTGATTTAATTGTTTCCTTGTTTTTGAGGTTATTTTTCTAATCTCAGACAATAATAGTTACTAATTGAAGTTGGTCCCCATAGAATTCTAGACGGTTTTGGCCATTCACTTATTGCAAGAAATCCTTTGTATCCATACTTATTTCCCAAAGGATTTATTTTGATTATTTACTACTAATGAAATTGCATTCTCAGAGTTCTTTTTAATTATAAAATCCTGTTTGCGTACAGCTGTAATTTTATAATTATATTTCTACTTTTGCTATGTTAATTTGAGTTGTTTACTATAAACTGTTTCTTATTTGTATTGATTACCTAAGTGCTTAAATATTTTATCGCAAGAGTTTCCAATTACGAACACGTATAAAGTACGGTACAAAAACAGTCAGTCAGATGCAACGTAGAACTTCGTACGTAAGTACATCAGTTCATGTCGCCATACCATATTAGCACAGAGATGTAATTGTCAATTCAAATCCAATAGTAGAAGAGGTAGTAAAGGTATTAGAAGTAATCGGAGAGGTTAGGATTAGAAGATATTCAAGAAGTATGATTCAGTGAGATAAGTTTAGAAAGACAAAACTAGAGGTGTTGAACAGTCCTGTTGTAACGCTTGCTTAAATAACTCCCAGCTAATTCCTATTGCTTAGTATTCTCCGACCACAATACACTGGACAAGTTCCAAAGAATCAAAACAAATAGCAAGGTTAAATGGAAATACGAAGGCATAAATAGATGCAACGTTAGTGTCCTTATAGTTTTTACATGAGAAGCTTCTGGAATGTAATTCACGTGATTGACTAGCACTGACTGGATTAGATTTAGCCAATCAGCATGCAGCTAACAACACGAGAATTTTCTAGCCTGTTCTCCAAGTATGGGCCAGGCGCTGATCGGATAGGAAATTAGCCAATCATCGCGCAGCTAACGCAGTCATGTTTTATTTCATCTATGTCCCACTAACACCTTCCCTTTGAGCAGATTCGTAGGATCTGGTGCTAAAGTCCAACTGTTTCCTGGGTGCCTTGCCACCCGTACTCTCACGAGCCGCCTGCTTTATGGGAGCCATATCTGTGAACAACCGTCGATTGGACTGCTTCCCCATCGATAAGTTTTGTTGAGGCTCATGAACAGCATATAGTAGAGGGCGTCTCGGACGTGAAATAGGTTTGGCATCTACTTTCACTGGTAGGTGAGCTTTCGTATTCGCACAGAGGCCAAGGCTATTCTGAAAAACAGAAGCTGACTTCCGTTTATCTTGTAACCTTTCACCTGTCTTCTTTGTAAGTACCAGGGTATCCAATGATGAACACGATACGCTGCAGACACTGTTAATGGGTAAATCAATTATCCCCAGTTTTTCTAGCATATCTAGACCAAGAAGATCAAGGTTTGGCCGTTCTATCAGATAGCATATTCCTGGACATTTTGTTCCACTGAAGGAAAATTCACACTGGAACTCACCAACCAGTTTTAACACACCACCTGAAACACTTTTAGCTGCTTTATTAGATGGCTTCATTGGCGGTTTTCCCAGCAAGTTATACGTTTGTCTAGACACTAAAGTGATATCTGATGCCGTGTCGATTTGAAAGCGAGCTGATGCACCGTTCATCTGGATAGTAACATGATCGTAAACCAGTAACCTACGAATATCTTCTACTCTCACTGGCCATGATTCACAGCCATAAAGTAGGATGGAGCGAACTACTGCGCAGTACACTCGTCCTTTAGTCAGCAAACGGATACCTCGCCTACGCCATGAGGGACGCGGGTTGGCAAAAGCCAATCGAGCTTTCTGTATCCGCGCTGAGATTTCGTCAGTCACCAGGCCATCAGCACTGATGAGACTCCCCAGATAAGTGAAGCGGTCAACACGCTCAACTACTTCACTCCCTATCACTAGTTCAGGTGCCGATGTAACCCAATCTTGAAGCAACATTTTGCATTTCGAGGGGGAAAACCGCATCCCGAAAATGCTTGCATTGTTGCTTAGGGCGGTTAGAAGACTCTGCATTTTGTCAGCATCTTCACCAAGTAGGACTATGTCATCGGCATTTTCTAAGTAGATAAGCGAGCCTCCTGGTAATAGGTCTAATTATGAAAATTCAGACGAGGATAAGGCTATTTCTAGGAGAATGTCTATAATAAAATTAAACAAAAATGAAGAAAGTGGAAATCCCTGACGGACACCACCTGAAGTGAAGAACTCCGGTGATAGTTCACCATGAGCTCTCACTAGACCAGTGGTGTTCGAGTAGAGAGCTTGTATAAGGTTAATGTACTTCTTTGGTACACCTTTCAATGACAGACACTGCCACAGAACCTCACGACCCACTGAGTCGAATGCCGCCTTTAGGTCCAGGAAGACAACTACCGTCGGACGCCTAAATGTGTGTCTGTGTTCCAGGACCTGTCGTAGTGTGAAGATGTGGTCTATACAACCACGTCCAGGTCGAAAACCAGCCTGGTTTTCTCTAGTCTGCTTTTCATGATCTCCAGTTAAGCGTCGAAGTATTATTGCGGCCAATATTTTAGATACTATATTAGTTAGACGTATTCTCCTGTGATTTTCACAAGAGGACTTCTGTCCTTTCCTATAGATTGGGACAATCAGTGATTGAGACCAGTCGGATGGGATTACGTCCAGTTCCTAGATTCTAGCTGATAAAACTGGACTACCATCCTTAAATATCTCAGGGGTCAGTCTATCAGGACCTACAGATCGCCCTCGCTTCAGATTTCCTAACGCTTTCTCAACTGCATAAAGACGAGCAGGACTTACGTCGATTTGCCATTCAGGATGACTGGGGATCTTGGGTAACCGAAGAGTGGCTCGAGGCCAGTCGAACTGATCCCTGAAGTATTCTGCCATCGGTCTAGTCTACTGGATTGAGAATGGATAATAAGACCATTTCTTCCCGAAATAGTCTCACTCACATTTGGGTTCCTAATACCAGTTTCCTTGATGAGTCTAAATAGTTGCCTACCGCCGCTGCCTTTTCCATCTCTCTCGCTTTCGCCACTCACCACTGTTCTCGATCATTGCGTAGGCTTTTTATCAGCCTACGTCTAAGCTGACTGCGCTCCTCATCGCACTCAGAGCCAGGCGGGATGAGTTTTCGAGCATCCATTAGTTCGGTAAATGCTATTGAGATTCACGGCTTCATCCTAGCATTAAGGTTTACCTTACTAGCAGATATCACTGCTGTTTCGACAGCCTTTTTGATATCATTCCAACCTGATTCTGGATGGGAATCGCTTACATGGTTGCCTCACTCTTTCTAGTTGCTACTGAAATATATTCTTAGCTTTATTACCATTAAGTAAAACCCTAAGAGGCTTCCTTACGGTGTCTTTCCTACGTCCAGTAAGCCTCAAACCAACACGCGCTCGCACTAGGGCATGATCTGAATCTAAACACGTGCCCTAGTGTGGTGCGCGCTACTTATAAGTAGTATATGACGCGAGTAAAACCGTAATGTCTGGCAGAAGATGGGGGAAGATCAAGAAAGGAAGAGCGGGAACACAATAGGATTTGTATGAAACGCATGAACAGTGAAATGTCAGACAATGGATTGATGTTGGCAACAAGAACAGTCCAGTTCGATATGACGGACTGGTATTTTGCAAATTAACAATTTACGATATGGTTTTTCTATTTTACCAATTAACTCTGTAATTTGAGAGAAATACAATTCGGTTGCCCTCACCTGTGTTCTCCTTCACTACACCAGAACGAGCGGCAGTCCTCTATCGAACCCCTCCATTGGTGGCTGATGACAATGTGATCTAGTTGCGTCCAACGTTGAGACGACTTTGGAAGTCGCCAGGTCAAAAGATGCTTTTCCATAAGCCTAAAGCTAGTGTTTGCTAATAGGCGGTTATCTGAGCATATTTGTAACAGACGGTCGCCATTGTCTGTTCTCCGAGCCGCGACACCATAACACCCACTTAGGTGTCTTTCATTTTCACTCAGTCTACCTACTTGAGCATTAAAGTCACCAGCCATTATTACTACATCAGAACGCCTAGCTTTTTGGAGGAGGTCCGAAAGTTTTCTGTAAAACTCATCCTTAACCTCGTCTAAACTGCAGTCAGTGGGGGCATAGGCAGACACGACGAAGAGGCAACGGCGAGTGTCCCTATCCTTCCGAGTCCTTACTGTCCCGTTTAGTCGGACAGCGCACAAGCGACTATCTGCGTCACAGTCTTTTACCGTAAAGTGTGGCATTATCTAGGTGTGATTGTTCTCATCACATCTTATGTGAAAGGATAACTGACTGTTGGATCAATCTGTATTACACTTTAGTTGGTTTTCCCGCGGTTATTGCAACTAGCAGTTTGGTGACAAGACTCAGAATTGGCCTCAATGTGTTCACTCTTTGTACCTTTCATCCTGCGAATTTATTCATTTTTCCAGAATCATATTCTTTGTACCTGAATTTTTTGGC